GAAGTAGGATTGCCCAACCTTCCTTCCGAGGAGTGGCTGGTGGGTTTGAACCACCAGCCTTCTGGTGAGCAGTCAAGTGCCTTAGGCACTGTGCCACCAGAGCTCCTGCCCTTCATGATAGGCCTAGATTTATTTTGTCGTTATTGTGTGCCATTCAGTCAATTCTGACTCATCAGTAGTTGCTACAAATTGATTTTAACCAAACCCACTGCTGTAGAGCAGTGCCAGACCTGACTCATAGCAGCCCTTCCTTAGGTTTCCGAGGTGGTATCACTATGGTAGTAGATTGCCCAGCCTTCCTTCTGAGGAGTGGCTAGTGGGTTTGAACCTCTAGCCTTCTGGTTAGCAGCCAAGTGCCTTAGGCACTACGCCACCAGAGCTCCCGTGAGTTTGTTTTAGTAGAGATAAATTTGGTTGACTGTCTCTTAATTGTCTTAATTTCTAGGTCTTTCATTTTTCATGATTATACAGTGTATGGAGTCTTGAAAATAATTTTTTTAGTGAGCAGTTTTATATAGTTAATAATTACGTACAGAAAAAAAAAAGTTTCTTTAGTACTTCGTGGAAAGAGCTGTCCTAGGTGCTTCCAGGGGTACACTCTGCCTTTAAGAATGAGAAGTTCTTTAAGGCTCGTTCCTAGACTACCACCTCCCTCTATACTGTCCAGGCAATCTCATCCATACCCATGGCTTCAAATACTATCTACAGACTAAGGGCTGCCAAATTTATTATTCTATTCAAACATTGGTTTTGAGTTCCAGTATTACATAGCTAATGTGGTCATCTTTTTTCAAATGTGTCTTAAACTTTTGATATCCAGTCTCTACCACAAATCTGGTCTCTACTGTTATCCACCTGTTAAGGATTGAATTTTGTCCCCTCAAAAGATGCCTTGCAGTCCTAACCCTTGTACCCATGAATGTGACCCAATTTGAAAATAGGGGTTTTCCTTTTGTTAATGAGGTCATACCAGAATAGAGTGGGTCTAAATCTAATCCCTGCTGAGTGATCTTTCATGAAAAGGGAAAATATACATGGGGAAACATGGGAGGACAGCCACACTGGGGAAGGGACCATGTGGAGAACTGGGTATCATTGAATTGATGATGTTTTAGCTTGTTAAGTTATAACCACATTTTATGAGGTCTCCTAGACATTATACCCGAGTCATCTTAAATGTAGTTTTGGGAATCTTCTCTACCCTTTGCTAATAAATAAATGCATGTCTGAATTTACAAGCCAAAGAATGCTCGGGGCTATAAACAAGGAAGGAGGACCTTGTCGATAACCTGATTTAGACTTCTAGCCTCCAAAACTGAGACAGTAAATTTCTGTCTTAAAGGCACTATTCTGGTTCCCTAGTGCCACTCTGACAAGAAAATACCACAAATGGGATGGTCTTAACAAACAGGAGTTTATTCTTACAATTTGGAGGCTTTAAGTCCAAGTTCAAAGTGCCAGGCTCTAGTGGCTGGGT